TTGTCTTCTTTTCCTGGACATGTTCAAATCTCTTTCAAAACAACCTTGTGATCCTGAGATTTCCATCAAGACTGTGCATTGTTTTTACAATATTCTCCTCTTGGCTCTGATTCTCCCTCCCCTCCTATCCCTTTCTGTCTCTTCTGCCACCAGAGAGGAGATCCTCCATGTTCATCCTGGTGGATTCAAACCCATGCTTGCCACACAGATAGTCACCGGAATGAATAGGTAGAATCTATAAAGAGTCCTTTTGAAAAAGAAAAAGGCAGGCTGGACATGGTGGCTCACGCTTGTAATCCCAGCACTTTGGGAGGCTGAGGCAGGAGAATCACCTGAGGTCAGGAGTTTCAGACCAGCCTGGACAACATGGTGGAACCCCATCTCTAGGAAAAATACAAAAATTAGCTGGGTGTTGTGGCGGCGCCTGTAATCCCAGCTACTCAGGAGGCTGAGGCAGGAGAATCACTTGAACCCAGAAGGTAGAGGTTGCAGTGAGCTGAGATCACGCCACTGCACTCCAGTCTGGGTGACAGAGACTCTGTCTCAAAAACATAATAATTGGAATAATAAAAGAAAAGTGCAAAAATTCAAACAACTTAACAGAAACTGTGCAAAAGAGCTGAACCGGCCCTCCACAGAAGAGGAGATGTGGAGGAACGGCTAATGAAAACACGAAGAGGGGCTCAGCCCAACGGGGAGATATCATGTGACACCCACCAGACTGGCAGAAATCCCACAACCCAATCAATGCCAGTGTTGGGGAGAATGGAGAGTAGCAGGAACACCAGGCACTGCTAAGAATGGTTATGAAATATATTTTTGTTACGCTTGTATATGAAAGGGTGTGTGTTGTGGGTTATGAGGAAAATTACATTTCTTACCTGGGATGAAATTTTAAAACTTGAAAGCTACTGACCCGAAGAAACTTGCACGTGTGTAAAAAGAAATGCCCAAGAACGTTCCTAGCAAAACACAGTCCTAAGGGCCCCAACCTGGCCACACACTCACCCACAGGGACATGAAGACATTTCCCGTGCTCCCCTCAGACGACGGGAGATCACGCAGCAATGACAACGAATCATGTCAGTGTGGGTGGGTCTCAGGGGGAGAATGGAGATGGGAGATCACGCAGCAATGAAAATGAACCACGTCAGTGTGGGTGGGTCTCAGTGGTAGAATGGAGACGGGAGATCACACAATGACAATGAACCACGTCAGTGTGGGTGGGCCTCGGGGAGAATGGAGATGGGAGATCACACAATGACAATGAACCACGTCAGTGTGGGTGGGTCTCAGGGGGAGAACTGAAGACAAAAACAGACATTGAGCAGATGCTCAGAGCCATGCAGCGTAGGAGCAGCCACACAGAAGAATTTCCTCACATCAAAGTTCAAAACTACAGCCGAGGCAACAGAGCAAGACCCTGCCTCTAAAAGAAAACAGAAAGTTCAAAAACTAAATGGCATATTTTTTGGGATGTACACATACACGGTAAAAGAAACGTACTGTGAAGAAAAGTACGGGAACAATAAAGATTAAAGCAGGAAGTGATTCCCTCTGTAGGAGAAGGGAAGGGACTGGGACTCAGGCAGGGCCTCCAGGGAACATCTGAAGTTATCTCTCTTCAGATTCTATTCCCTAAACTTGGTGGAGGTCCTCTGTGTCCAATGTGTCGATATTCTTTATATTTTACCCATACTGTACCAATGCTTTATTTCTATTCAATATTTAGAAGACAGTTATAAACAAGATGCATTAAATAGCAAGATGGCCGATGAACATCAGGAAGGAACATCCATGAGGTTCCATCCACAGAACCTCACCATGGATACGCTTGTGATCAAAGGCCTGGTCTCCCCTCACGACACAGAGCAGAGGCCGCGCCATCATAGTGGAGCAGGAGCAGCTGGGACAGGGCCCTTCTGTGAACCTGCTGCATCCGCAGGCTGTGCAAACGGACTCAGCGGCCAGAACTCACAGAGTATCAGTATCAGCACCGAAACCTCACAGGAAAAATGGTAAGTTCTAAGTTTCTCCATTAATAGTAACTCTCAGATTAATCTCTGTCATCCATCGCTTCTCCAAGAAATAACTTTTTATAGCTTTGCATGGGTCTATTTTTCAATTTATATTTTATTTTACTAACTGACTGAAAAGATATATATTGTGTGTGGTGTCTGATTTTGTCTGTCAGGATAATCATAGTTTAATTTCTATTATTATGATTATAGCAAAATCACTTAGTTTTTTTCAAGCTTTTCAATTCCTGAGGGTATTAATCAGGGTCTTCATGTCTCATGAGACAGAAAACAAATCCAAACTGTGTAAAAGAAAAAGGAATGTAATGATGACGAGGACTGAGAAGCTCCCAGGCTTAACTTGCTTGGGATTCAGCTACATGTACAGTTTCAAGTGGGGTCCTGTAACACTCTCTCTCTCTCTTTCTCTCTCTACTTCCCCAACATCAGCTGCATGTTTAGCTCCACGAACTTCAGACTTAAACAGCATCACTGGCTCCTGACCAGGATTCCAGCTCCACGAACCTCAAACTACAACACCAGCCTTCCTTCTCCTTAGGTCTCCAGCTCCAAAACCTAAGAC